GATATTGGAATCATGTACGATTCCAAATGATGCCCAGTGTAATGGGTCAAGTACAAAAGATCCTTATAAGGTATAATTTTTCCTGACATTCGAATGTATCCAGGGCTATTTTTAAGAGATGATTTAAAAAATGCATTAAAGCTACATTAATGGTGTTCATTTCTTCAACTTGTTGAAGTAAAGCCAAATGCTGAGCACAACTGTCTAATCACCCTGACGTGTGGGGATATTGCACTGATGCTCATGATATATCTAATATCTATAAGAACTTTTCTGATAATCTAATCAAACTGGAATTTCAATCATAAAGGTCATGAACAACAACAACACGTATTTATATAGTGCCTTTTACATCGGGAAGATGTCTGTGGCTTCTGGACACTGAATAAGATATCAATACATTTTCCAGCATATTTTATGGTGAAATAAGGGACAGAGGGATGATTTGAACAGCACTCAAGAGGCCCAAAATTTCACCTGGTCTGAGACTATTTGGAATTAAAATGTATGATCGTTCAGAATTGCAGTAAATGCTTGAATTCAGTTTTAATTCTTGTGGATCCCTGCTTGGGTCCAAATCCTGACTGTCCAGTGCCTTGGGACATCCTCCCGACGTGAAAAGTCTGAAATTTAAGAGATAAACACAATATCTATGCAATCTTAAATTTTAAACAAAAGTGGTCTTACAGTCTAAGACCAGGAGGAATTTCGAGCCAGAGGTTCCTCCTTCAACATAAAGCACATGGAAATGTTCCTGATACAAATGAGTAGATTGTACATATGTAAACACAAATCAGCAGTGACAGACTGACAATTCATGTGGCACTGCTCTCAATATGCTGAATTCATTCAAGTCATTCAGGCTTTTACTGCACATCACCCACTGCCATAAATAACTTGTACCAGATGTTTAATCTTTAAGGCAAATTGCAGATTAAGAAAAACAATTGAAAATTGTAATAATAAAAAGAAATGCAACTAAAAAGTTGAATTCCCTCCACCTGGCATTACAATTGATTTTCGTTAAGTTTTAAAGAAAAACAAAACTATAATTTTTCTCACTTATAACACACAAGTATTGAAATGTTTAATTTGTTATAAATCCTGCGCTGTTAAACTGTTGCTGTGACCCACTGATCCTGCCCCTAATCAACAGGTCTTTTTAAAGAGTGCTAGCTGGCTAATACTTATGTTATAGGAACACAGGAACAGGAGTAGGTCATTCAGTCCCTCGAGCCTGTTCCATCATTCCATTAAGTCATTGATGAAATACCCAGTGAATGTTAAGGAGAATAATAGAGGCCTGAGAGGCATTATATGCATTATTCTGATCTATTTTTCACGTGACATCATGTACTACATAAACAAAACTTGGGGTAGTTATAATTGACACCTAAACTTTGATATAAGCTGGCATTTGAAATCACTCTGTTATAACAGCTGTTATTTTTTGGAATATACCGTGAATTTCTGTCATTCTGTTTGGATTTTACCCATTTCTGAGTGACGGTTGTTCGCAGTGTGGCTGCTGATTACCAGTGTGTGGTATGTGTTGACAACTCATGATGAAATCCACTCTGAAGCTTTAATGATCATGTTGCAGTCAATGCCAATATATGGAGGAAGTAATCAACAGTTGATCACTGGGAAATAACAAGGCCAGTATAAATTATATATGGGAAAAGATATATAGGCCGGACAAGACAAAAGCACATTTAGTAAGTAATATTAAGATCTAAAGTGTGACAGTGAAGCCTCAGTGCTTTATCAATGTCATCTCAATGTTATCAATGTGCTATGCCCTTGCAAAACAACTATAGCATACTGTACGATATATCCAGGTAGCACTTGTGTTCTAAGGAGGGGAGGAGGAGTATTTGTTTTCCTGAAAAATATAAGAGTGAACAATCCAAGGCTAGGACTGATAACAAGTTTGACTTTATAAAATATCGCCTTGAAAAATTCTGTCCATGATGTATTAATCCACATCCATAAAACAACAATTGACATTTTGGATCTTAGCATATCAATATGCGTTATAATTGATATTTCAATGTTGTTTCAACTTAAACTCATTCCTGTTAAGAGCAGAGGAAACTCTTGAATTTTTTTTTGCTTTTGCAAAGTGCTTTAGGCATTTTCGCACCAGCCCAGCCTGTTCTCTGGATCAGGCCCAGAATATCATTGTTTATTGACCAAGGATTGTACCGAACGCTACATCGCACACTGAGGAGGGAACCAGACCACACTGTAGACAGGTGGAACCACAGAACTGCAACCTGCTCACTTAACTGCTGAAGTTGACTAAGAGTGACTGGTACAGTGTTGAATGCTGTTCAAGCCTAAATACCTCCAGGGCCCAGGTCACTATAAGTCGTATTGCCCTTTGAACTACATAACCAAGACAGTGAGCTTATGACTATAATTCAATCCTGGAATTGTTCTTGTGTTCAAGCTGGAGCTTTCATAGCATCATAAAAAAAGCAGAATAACTTATTGCCAGCTATTCTTAATGTAATTTTATATAAAAGAAAATCCTGCGGAGCAGACTATATATAGGCTATTGATTCACAAAGAATGGTTTTCATAACATTGCCAAAAGTAACTATGATTTTCACTGTCAGGCAGTCAGTAGAGAGATCTGTACATCAGTGAGACATGGGTTATTTCAGGTAAATTGTTTAAAATGCCCAACCCCCCCTCCAGTCAGCCCCCACCTACCTTCCCAACCCCTGCAGCCCTGGGTTACCAGCAGGAGGGAAGGATATTTTTTAGTGAATGCTGGAAGATTTCAGCCCAAGTTTTCCAGTTCTCATTCTTAATATCCCCTGACAGTTCGGGAGCAATGATTAATCTCCTCTCGGTTTCTCAGTGAATAAGAGGAGGGCGTTCCACTGGAATGGGAGCCTCGCACCCCCCGACCAGCACTGTGCTGTACATCACTGCGTCCGGATAACCAACCGGTTCATCTCGTGTAACGAGAGATGTCTAACCCGATGTTAGTGTTGTTGTTCATGTAAACGTATGGGTTTGTAACGTGGTTTCAAGGCTCACGATCTGCACCACTGTACTTAACGGCCCTTTAATCTGCAGAGGGTGGGGGTAACATAAGATAAATGCCTTCGGATGGAGGTGGAAGGAGATGCACATTAACAGACTGTATTGCTGAAGGTGCAATGAGATGTATTGCTCCATCAATACTCGTGACTAGAAATATTCAATCCGCTATTTTTTTTTCCCTGATCACATCAGCCTCTTTCACCCAAATCCGTGTCATTTTCCGGGAAGATCTAACCCAAAGAACCACTTGTTTTACAACAAGTCCAGAGAACTTAATCCCTTCCCGACCTTTTGCTTTCTGCACCGTAATGGATTCTAAAACCTATTTTAGATGCTCTTCTGCTCAAGTGTTAACCCTCTTCTTGTGTCCAATGCGCCATCAGACAAACTTTTTAGATGCAATGGGTCGCTACCTGGGGTTTCAGTTTGCATTCCAGTTAACAGTTGCTGGAGATTAAGATCTTTTAATGCAATAAATGGCCCAAATACCATTTTGTTGTTGTTGTTGTTGTTATTGCTGATTTGGTTTTTAAGGCGTTGTTGGTCTTGACTTGTCTCTGTGGTCCTGTCAATACAAACCAATCCAACCTTGAGAGAGAAGTCAATCATTGATGTCAATCGAGAGATCAATAGTCTATCACACGCACCGTTTAATGGGCAAATTACAACCCCTTTTTTTTTGTTTCAAGTGCACAAGCGATAGGGCTCTTCCACCAGTGATGCTAAGAACACGAGGAACAGCATCATTTATAGGTTCCTTCGCTCTCAATAGTTCATTGGGGGGTATTCATGCATTTGGTTTACTATACTGTGGTTCAGATATAACGCCTCGCAAATGCGGTGCAGATTTCTTTTAAAATGTAAAGTGAATAAAAAAAGACACGTATGATTTTGGCTTACGTTGCATTCCAGCATTTGGGAGGAGGAGGAGGGGGTGAAAAAAAAGAAACTTGTTTATGAGGTCGTGGGGGTAGGGAGTGTGGGGGGTGGGGGAGTGTGGGGGGCTATAATGGGCTGTGGATTCGCTATTGCCTACTTATCCATCGCTGGGGGATACTGCTTTCTTCTTCTTCTTCTTCTGGGGGGTTGTTCTGAAGAGGGAGGGAGTTGCATTGGGGATTTATTTTAAATGCCATCAATGTTGGTCATTTTTTTGTTTTGTTTTGTTTGATGCAGAGGGAGAGGGACTGTGTGTACCAGAGAATCCCAGTGGCAGAGGCTTTTGCCTGGAACAGGGTGTATGGAGCGCTCATGGGGCTCAGTTAACGACCCATTGCAAACGCTCCTCTATGTAATTTTTTTTGTGCAAAGATGTGCTCATCAGAGCCGTCCAGAAAAGCATCACAACAATCTCTCTCTCGCCCCCTGATTCCTCGCCTCTCTCTTCCTTTCTCTTTCCTTCCTCGTTTCTTCCTCTCTTCTGCTTCTCTCTCCCCTTTTATCACCAACACTATCAGCGCCTTCTCTAATCTCACGCATTTCACTCGCATCCTCTCTCTCCCAATCCCACCCCCACCCCCCCCCCCTCCCTCCCCCCCTCCCTCTCCCTCTCTCTCTCTCTCCCATTAAAACTATCGCGGCGATTTGGGGGTATTTACCCCACATCCGGTGCTGTGGGATCCCTGACATTTAGCCCCAACGCCAACATTAGAGATACCTCTCACATTCACTGCAAAACCACACACATCATCATTTAGACCAGAGAGTACCACTGAAATGGCAAACTTTACATCTGCATTCACTGTAGATCAGGTCAGACTACTACAGTGTGTGTATATGTATATATATATATATACATAGAGAGAGAGAGAGAGAGACTTCAGCCAATTCCAAGCAAATCGAGTCCCTCCAGTCTCTGTTAACTCCTCTCACGGACCCGGGGCTTGAACCCCTGTCCCTTGTGCTGTGTATCTGTAAAACACTCCATAAAGTCCCCTTACCTGGTCTGTGAAGGTAAAATTGCTCGATGGTCGGGTGCAGAGATCCCTGACAGATCCCCAAAGCGCAGACCGTTATCCACAGATAGAGGAACGCGGACATTGTAGATACCATCGCGTTTTCTCTGCAAAAGCAGAAAGTATTAAATAAACTCACAGTGTGCCTTCAGCTCTCAGATAGAGAGACAGAGAGAGAGAGAGAGAGAGAGAGAGAGAAAGAACTGCAACAGCTATTATCTAAAATACTCCCTTTTAAAGGAATGACAAACCTGATCAGGGATATCACCACAGGATTCCCAACGCTCTGACTGACCACATCCACCAACACTCGGCTGAGAAAAGTTAATTTTTTTTTATTAAAAAAGAAAAGAATCGCAGTTCATTTGCTGTTCATTGGTTGGCGACTGGAAACCGACTCTCCGGAGCTGAGATCCCCGTTAAGGTTTAAAGTCAAACCGACGCACTGAGAAAGCAGTTCTCGATGTGACCGATTTAATGCTTCTTTCGCGACTCACCTGTCACCGACCAAACCGATGGGAGGATGTAACTGTGCGACTATCAGTTCTTCATCGCCGCTTCATTCCCCCAAAACAAAGCCGAGACCCCCCATCCCTTCACCAGAAGGCAGGCGATGCAATGATTGTATGTTCGTGTCCGAATAAAACGGATGACTGGCAGCATTTCCCCGGGTCTTCCTCTCACAGCGCACAGGACATCACCAGCACCAGCACCAGCATCAGCATCAGCACCTCTCCCTCTCCCTCTCCCTCTCCCTCCCTCTCTCCCTCTCCTCTCCTCTCCCTCTCCCTCTCTCCCTCTCCCTCTCACTGAGATCCGTCAGCTGGTCCTGGGCTACACTCGGGGCAAACACAAGTCATCTGAACTGAACCGAGAGATCCGACCAGTCTCTGGGAAATAGCTGCACACACACACACACTCACACACACACTGATATATATGTATATATATATATATATATATATTGCAATAGAAGAGAGAGAGAGAGAGAGAGACACGACTCGCTGACAGGAGGTACTCCCACAGACAGCTTTCCAGATGTGGTTTGGTGGTGGGGATGGGGGTGGGGATGGGGGAGGGCGGGGGGTTAAGGGGGGAAGGGGAGGGGTTGGGTGGTGGTGGTGGTGATGGTGGGGGGAGGAGGATAGAGACGGATGTTGAAGCTCAATAAACCGGGACGTTTCAGCCACTGACTGACTGACTGGCGAGGAGGGGAGGGGAGGGGAGGGATGGGGTGGGGGTGGGGGTGTGGGGGCTACACCGCCCTCAACACTTATGTCCGGAAGCCATCACTTATTCGCTGCTGCTGTCTCTGCTCAGTCCGGGGTCGCCACTTGCACCACCTTCCCAAAGCCCATCTGCACATCTGTGTATGTGCTCTCTCTTTTCTTTCTTTCCTTCTCTCTCTCCCTCTCTCTCGCTCTCTGGCTTTCTTTCTCCTCCTTTCCCAAAGGACCTCTTCTCTTGAGAGAATGCAAAAAAAAAAGCAAATCCCCCCCCCTCCCCCCCCCCCCTCCCCCTGTGCTTCTCAGCGCCTTCTTTCAACAACCTCGTTCCTCTTCCCCCCTCTCTCTCTCTCTTTCTCTCTTCTTTTCTTCTCTCTCTCTCTCCCTCTCTCTCTCTCTCCCAATTTAAGCTGCTTCCACCACACACTCAGCGCAGCAGTGAGAGGCAGTGACACACAGCGTTTACCGGATACATCTCTGGTCCCATCCTTGGAGACACTGGTACCCACTTTCCACATCCGATCGGGGCAGAGATGTCAGACAACGTGTCCCAAGTTGATCAAAAGTCATCCTTTTACTCAAAACATTTTTATTTGAAACACAGACACACACACACACAGACAGACACATACACACAGACACACACACAGACACACACACAGACACACACACACACACACAGACACAAACACAGACACACACACACAGACACACACAGACACAAACACAGACACACACACACAGATACACACACACACACACAGACACACACACAACCAGCACCAAGTTTTGAGTGTTCAAGTTAAAATTAAATTAAAAAAAAACCCAAAGCAAAGGAGAAGGGGAAAGTGGGGACAGCGAAGCAGCTGAACTGCACGAGTTTTAAAAACTTGACGCTTCTTATTGAATCGCAGTTTTCACATCTGGAACATAATTGAATCATTGTCGGAATCCGCTACTGTGTGGAGTTTTCATTTTATTTCCCACCTCTTTTATTTGCAAGTTCTGACCTTCCACCTGAGCCGTGTAGACAGGACAGGGTTTACCCATTTGCGTGTATCAGAGATGTGTTGAAAGTCACTCACACTCACACACATAAAGAATAATAATAATCCCTGCATTTGATATAGCAGCTCATCGTCACTGAGACGTCTCAAATATATTGTAAAGTGGATTAATTGACTTGTGTATTTTGTGGGTGAAACTACACACACACATACACACACACACACACATATACACACACACATATACATACACACACACACATATACACACACACACATACACACACACATATACATACACACACACACACACAAACACACACACACATATACACACACACATATACATACACACACACACACATACACATACACACACATACACACACACACATATACATACACTCACACACACACACAAATACACATACACACACACACACACACACACACACATATACATACACACACATATACATACACATACACACACACACACAAGTAACTGTCTCTCCAGTCCCAGTGAGCGGCTTCTCCTCTGAGCAGATTCAGTGATGGACTGTCGCCGGTGACAGTGTTGGGGAGAGTGAGTGTGTGTGAGTGTGAGAGCAGCTCATCACAGAGGCGGGTGTGACTTCCACAGCCACAGGCACTCACTCTCTCACTCTCTCACTCTCTCACTCTCTCACTCACTCACTCATTCATTCATTCATTCATTCAATTCATTCAATTCATTCATCCCCTCCTCACACCTCCTCACACACACACTAAGAGCGACCCCCAACCCCTGAACTTTCACTTTCACAGAGAAACAAACCCTCGCAAAGCGCACACACGGCATCGGGTGTGAGCAGCAGTGAGTACACACTCACTCACTTCCCACCGCGTCCTCAAGGACAGCATCTGCACCCGAACAGGAGGGGATCCTGCACATCTCTTCCACACGCCCAACACCCCCCAACACCAACACCCCCCAACACCCCCCAACACCAACACCCCCCAACACCCCCCACCCCCCAACACCCCCCACCCCCCAACACCCCCCAACACCAACAGCCCCAACACCCCCCAACACCAACACCCCCCAACACCCCCCAATACCAACAGCCCCCAACACCCCCCACCCCCCAACACCCAACACCCCCAACACCCCCCACCCCCCCAACCCCCCCCAACACCAACACCAACACCCCCCAACATCCCCCCAACACCCCCCAACACCAACACCCCAATACCCCAACACCCCCCAACACACAACACCCCCCAACACCCCCCAACACCCCCCACCCCCAACACCCCCCACACACCAACACCCCCCACAACAACCCCCAACACCCACCAACACCAACACCCCCAACACCCCCAACACCCCCCAACACCCCCCACCCCCCAACACCCCCACCCCCCAACACCCCCCAACACCCCCCCAACACCAACACCCCCCAACACCCCCCCAACACCCCCCCACCCCCCCCAACACCCCCCCCAACACCCCCAACACCCCCCACCCCCCCAACACCCCCCAATACCAACACCCCCCCCAACACCAACACCCCAACACCCCAACACCCCCCCCAACACCAACACCCCAACACCCCCCAACACCAACAGCCCCCCAACACCCCCCCCCAACACCCCCCCAACACCCCCCCCACCCCCCAACACCCCCCAATACCAACACCCCCCAACACCAACACCCCCCAACACCCCAACACCCCCCCAACACCCCCCAACACCCCCCCACCCCCCCCAACACCCCCCCCCAACACCCCCCCCCCAATACCAACACCCCCCAACACCCCCCAACACCAACACCCCCCAACACCCCCCAATACCAACACCCCCCCCAACACCCCCCCCCACCCCCCCCAACACCCCCCAACACCAACAGCCCCCCAACACCAACACCCCAACACCCCCCCCAACACCAACACCCCCCAACACCAACACCCCCCAAACCAACACCCCCCAACACCCCCCCAACACCCCCCACCCCCAACACCAACACCCCCAACACCCCCAATACCAACACCCCCCAACACCCCCCACCCCCCCACACCAACACCCCCCAACACCCCCCAACACCAACACCCCCCAACACCAACACCCCCCAACACCAACACCCCCCAACACCCCCCAACACCAACACCCCCAATACCAACACCCCCCAACACCCCCCCCCAACACCAACACCCCAACACCCCCCCAACACCAACACCCCCCCAACACCCCCACCCCCCAACACCAACACCCCCCAACACCAACACCCCCCAACACCCCAACACCAACACCCCACAACACCCCCCCAACACCCCCCAACACCAACACCCCCCAACACCAAACACCCCCCAACACCCCCAACACCAACACCCCCCCAACACCAACACCCCAACACCCCCCCCAACACCCCAACACCAACACCCCCCCCAACACCCCAACACCAACACCCCCAACACCCCCAACACCAACACCCCCCAACACCCCCCACCCCCCAACACCCCCAACACCCCCCCAACACCAACACCCCCCAACACCCCCCAACACCAACACCCCCCAACACCCCAACACCCCCAACACCAACACCCCCCAACACCCCCAACACCCCCCTACCCCCAACACCCCCCCAACACCCCCCAATACCAACACCCCCCAACACCCCCCACCCCCAACACCAACACCCCCCAACACCCCAACACCAACACCCCCCAACACCAACACCCCCCAACACCAACACCCCAACACCCCAACACCCGCCCCAACACCAACACCCCCCACACCCCCCCAACACCAACACCCCCCAACACCCCCCAACACCAACACCCCCCAACACCCCCCAACACCAACACCCCCCAACACCCCCCAACACCAACACCCCCACCCCCCAACACCCCCACCCCCCAACACCACCCCAACACCCCCCCAACACCCCCCAACCCCAACACCCCCCCACCCCCCAACACCACCCCCCCACCCCAACACCACCCCCCACCCCAACACCCCCCCCCCCAACACCACCCCCACCCCAACACCACCCCCCCACCCAACCACCCCCCCCCAACACCACCCCCCACCCCAACACCCCCCCCCAACACCACCCCCACCCCCACCACCCCCCCACCCCAACACCCCCCCCCCCACCCCCCCCCCCAACACCCCCCACACCCAACACCACCCCCACACCCCAACACCATCCCAACACCCCCACCCAACACCATCCCCACACCAACCCCTGCCCCCAACACCCCCCTAACAACACCCCCAACAACACCAACACCCCCCACACCATCCCCACACCAACCCCCCGCCCCCCAACACCTCCACCCCAACACCAACACCCCCCCCACAACACCATCCCCACCCCAACATTTCACCAGAGAAACTGAGCACCGCCCGAAGCTGATTTAACGCTAACATACACCGGGAGATGAATCGTTCATCGGTGCCCTACATTCGGGATTGAGTCGCTTCTCAGCGCCGCCCCCGCACTTTATAAACACTCTTT